CCACCCACACCCCCACCCACCCCCACACCCACGCCCACACCCACACCCACACCCACACCCACACCCACACCCACATCCACACCCACACCCACACCCACATCCACACCCATGCCCACATCCACACCCACACCCACATCCACACTCACACTCACACCCACACCCATGCCCACACCCACACCCATACCCACACCCACACTGACACCCTCACCCACACCCACACGCACCACGACACTCCCACCAACGCCCACACCCACAACACACCCACACCCACGCTCCCACACCCACAACACACCCACGCTCCCACACCCACACCCTCTAGCCACACCCACACTCCCACTCACACCCACACCCCACATCCACCCTAATAAGATGTTTTTGTTATGGAATAAAGCTCTAACACACGATAATTTACAAATGTGGATAACTGTTTCAGTCAATGCTAGCAATATTTCGGTACAAGATGGTTATATTGGTTTCTGCTAATTCTGTGATTTGAATTTCTACACAAGGATGGACTGTTAGGTCCAATAGTTAAAACACAAAATTGGTTCAGTATGTTTGAATACATAATGAACTCTGATAAGATTATGTTTAGTTGTTTATCAGGTCCAAAGTTTCAATTTACACGAAAAAGAAGTTCTTTTACATACAAGTAAACCATACTAAAAAAGTGTTGATCATAAATTTATATGAATATGACTTCAATGACACGTTTTTTTTTCTTTCTGTTTTTTTTTTGCTTACTGTTTTTTTTGCTTTTTGTTTTTCACTCTTATAGTAGTACCCTGAAGATAACCTTGCAAAAAATAACATATTTGCTTCTCTAACCATCATTTTGTTAACTTTATGACGTTTATTTCGCACAAATAGTCAACTGCAACAATGACAGACACATGTGCTATATGTATTACAAAGACAGGCGTTTTAAAATGTCAAGGATGTCAAGTTATATTTTGTAGTAACGATTATAATTTACATCGAACTGAACTTGATCGACAGCTTGATGGGTTTGCAAATGAAATAAATATATTTCGGGATATGTCAAGCGAGGCAAGTACCAGCTTGAAATCGCTTTTGATTGATCAAATTGATACTTGGGAAATGAAATCAATTCAAAGGATAAAAGAAACAGCAGAAGAAGCACGTCAGCAAGTTCGAACATTTATTTCCTCGACAAATGAAGAAAATTCAGCATATACTCGTGAAATAGCTGAACAGTTACAACGAACTCAACAAAATCATGATTTCGATGAACGAGATTTGATGAAATGGAAAGCAAGACTCGATGAACTCACACTAAGTATTACAAAACCAAATATATCTGTTGATGAGCAACAATCAGAGAATCCTTTCATAACGAAAATTTTTGTCAACGAAAAGGATCACTTTGAACAAATTTGTGGACTTGTATGTATTGAAGAAGACGGCCATCTAGCTCGTCACAAATTCAATCTCTTCGGAGGTTGTGGTGAAATTCGTGGAAAAAGACAATATAGTATTGGTATTCATCGGATTCGATTCAAAATTGAGCAGCTTGATGCACAGCCATGGTGGTTTCTTGGGATTATCTCAAAATCAACACCTATGCAACAAAATTCTCAAAATTCACCTTCAGCGTATGGTTGGGCTGGTCATAGTGAAGTATACATGAATGGACAATGTTTAAAGAATACGAATGGATATATCAGCGAGTATTCAAAAGGAGATATAATTGAACTTATTCTTGACTGTGATCATCGTCTAATACGTATGATTAATATTCGTTCAATGAAGTCTTATGAAACAAACGTTGATCTTTCACAATGTCCCTTCCCTTGGATGATTCATTTAAATTTATTTCATATGCAAACTCGTATAAGAATCAATCCGTAAATCGTTACAAGCAAAGAATAATTGAAGTTTCAATATTGACTACTTTCTGTCTTGATCTATACGTCAAAATTGATTATCAATTGTGTTTCATGAAACGAATACTTCAGCAAATGTGAAAAAAAATCATGAATAAAGGTGTGAGTGGGTGTGGAGTGGAGTGTGGGGTGTCGGTGTGGGATGTGGGTGTGTGGATGTGAGTGTGAGGCGTCGGTGTGGGTGAGAGTGTGGGTGGATGGGTGTGGAGTCTCAAGTCGGATAAGGAGGGAACACCCTCATCCACACTCTCACCCACACCCACACCCTATATCATCGATTTGTTCCAGACCTCATAACTTATACAACTTACAGACTATAGACTACATAACTTAAAATCAATATGACGAAGACTGTCTCATACTCCACTATATCATGAAAAATTATTATATCAATTATTATACCACTATATCTCTTTTTTTCATCACATCATTACATATATTTCTTTTTTTTTTGGTTTCGTCCCACCACTGTATACACGTTTTAGTTCTTTTTCATATTTTTTCTCACCCTCATTAATCTGTGTCTAGCCTGACGAAGACAACATTCGAAACGCGTTGCTGACATTACTCTTGTGAATTCCTTATTCAAATAAAAAAAAAATAGAATTATATACATATATATATACTTCTATCATTTAAAATATATGTGAAACAATTTTCTTCTACAATTCCATAATATTCAACAAAACAAATAAATATATATATATTGATAACAATCGATTCGAATCCACAAAAAAAGAATTTAGGTCAAATAAATTGTTCAAACTTCACCAATTCGTAATTGACGAATCGAATCGATTCATTTCAAATAAAAAAAGAAAAACAATTTACTTGTTTTCAAAAAAAATTATTTCTTGTCCATTACTTCCTTCTATTGAGTTTTTATCATATTGCATAATTAATTCTACTGTTCGGTTCAAAAATTAAAGAAATCAATGGTCTCTTATAAATAGGAGGTAGGCCGCAGTACATGTTTCGTTCGTTAAAATGCATTTTTTCGAAAAAATTATTTTTTTTATATTTTTAAAATGTAAAAGCATCTCAAACAGTTGACGGTTTTGCGGTCTGAAATGTATCTTCTCATTTTAACATGATGATTATCGATGAAATTTTATTTTTAACAATAAAAATTAAATATTGTATTATGCATGCATTTGTATGTTCATAGGTGCTTTATGATTATTAAATTTATTATAGTTACAGATTTTTATAATATGAATAAGATATTTTTTTCTGTTTTCAATAAATATATTAGGATAATAAGTTCATTCGACAAAATATTTGCTATTTCTATGTTTATTCTGCTCCTTGTTATATGTAGTTGTTAGATTGTTTCTTAGTATTTTCTCGTACAAAATCAAATTCTATACATAGAAATAATTTCAAATTTCAGTAGTATAACCCAAGATACTATAGGTAGCATAAATAGTTTGAAATTCGAAAAAGTTTAAATTTTATAACAATTCTTTGAGTTTTTGTGTATATGACAAATTCTAGTTTAAATTAAAATGTTTGATTAAAATTGATAGGACCAACAAAATTATAATTTAAATCAAATAAAATTGTGTCTCTGAGAAATTGAAATATGGTGAATGTTCGCTCTCTGTAATAAACCTTTATGAATTGTTTATGATCATTCAATTATACCATGGAAATCGGTCTAGTCTAACCAAAACAAGTTTTCAACAACAATTATAATTCAGTTTTGTGCTTTTCGGTAGAGTAAATACAAAGAAATTGTCAATTTTAGAAGATATCTCTTTTTAATTTATACTCTTGATCACTTCACTTTTGTTTCTTTATCTTCTTTGAGATGGATGTGTGCACATATTTCTTCTCTACTGTTTGATAAACTGATCATCTCCATATAAGTGTAAAATGAATCTTCTCTTCATTGATAAAAATGCACGAAATATTCATCATCATTATCGTATTCTTCATTTTCTCTTCTGATACGGCACATTTGATTACATAGATTATATCCGTATACTATTTTTTTTTGTAACATTCAGTACATAAAATAGAAACCTCAATGCAAATGAAATACGATCTAACTTCGAAAAATAAGAATTTAAGTAGATTCTTTACATCACAAAATGAAAGATAGAAAATTTCAAATAATGATGAAAAGTTTATTTTTTGTTGAAATGATCAATATAATGCACCAAAAAAGTGTGATTACTCTTTTAAGAAAGGGAACAAACATGTCACAAAATGATTTAGATGCAGAGTGGTTAAAAAAAGTGTTCTTTTGATTGTTAAAACAAAATATGCTTCTGCAATACAAAAATTATTGACTCAGCTCTCTTCGGTTTTGTTTTACAAAATAAAATTTTATAAACTCATTTTCTCAAGAGTATTTACTTTTTGAGTAAGATGAAACAACAACGATCTATGAGATTACACTTACGATGCCGAAATCACATCGAAAATTCTCAATGGTATACATTGACATGTCGCTATAAAACGGAACTTTCTCTCAAGAAAAATATTAGAGTCTTAGAATCGATTTTTCATAGTAATCTATCATTAATTATATGTAAATAAGAGTTGCAGAAAAGTTTCATTATTCTATCATCTAAGTAAGATACTATTTTGTTCTCCCAACAAAATTTCAAAAAAGTAGTGAACTCCGAATTCAATAACAAACTAATTCAGCAAAATCTGATTATACCTACTGACAACTATGTATCATATATACAGAACAAAGTTCAATATAGACTAAGTGACTCGATTACGGTTGCGCTCAATCGAGGTTCGCAACATACGATCTTTGGCTGTATTTGTTTCGATCAGGGTGACGAATAATTGCAATCTGTTTTAGTAATCCGTAGAACACACGATAGCCTTTGTCATAACAGTGTCAAGAATGAAATCTCACGAGCTAAAATGAAACTCATGGGTATAATTTTTCATCTGTCATCTGAGAGCAATCTACACTAAAAGACATTTTCAAAAGAAAGTATCTCATGTCTTCCAAACCAAAAAAAAAATAGATCATCTAAAGCATCAAAATCATTTTTGAAAAAGAAGTCTTTACGAATACGTATATAAAAACATTATATATCGTACCGAACTTTATCTGTGCCAAGAAACTTTATACACTTACTGAAACTTGAACTGTGACAGTATTAACAGAGCAATTCTTATTGTTCATGCGCTCGTGTTATTCATAGACTGAAATTCGTTCTCTCTCAATGGTTACACAACCCAACGCATGGTTCAGTAGTGGCATCGATGATGAAAAAAAAATTTATTACAAGCGAAAATTTTTTATCTGTGCGAAAAACCCTTTATATAAGATGTGTTTCACATGGGTTTATACGATTATGGAAATATCTTACAATGATTAGTGGTTCCTGATCTATCCTTGAACTTGCTTATCAAATCATGGTTAAGAGTGGGTATTAGTGAACCTAAGATTCACACTCACATTCACGATTAAAATTTGAAAAATCCGATCAATGGACTCCTGCTTCCAAGTTCCTACTATTTTCTCGAAATATAGTCATTGCAAGATGAAAACAATGCTTCATCTCTAATATCGATGCACATCAACTGATGGAGAGCGAGCTGATGCTTGAACTTAGAGTTCACTGCAGCCCATATGCACCAAAAATATCAAACCAAATTCATAAGAAAATGGTATCAGTTCAGCGAAATCATTACTTTAGTTCAGTACACACTAATTATTCAAATTTATGCTTATGATCTGTGTCAAACTTTCAAATTCTTTATTATAAATATTCGAGATATTGAATTTCCAATCAATAGTCGCTTGTTACAGACATGTCGCAAAAATCATGTCTACTTGAAGTTTCAATATCTCTTACGCATAAACATTGTTTTCAGTTCAAACTATCAGGATTTTATAAGAGTCATTAGATCTATCTATGGACGGAAATGCAAGTTGAAAATTCATTATTTGAATTTCCAGTAGATATCTAGAAATTAGAGTCGAGAGGCTAGTAAAACTTTCATTATTCGACTCCAGAGGTGCATGAATGCG